TAAACATAAGCATGGTGGATGATATAGTCAAAAAGACTGTTGCCTATTCAGCGAGGAGACTTGCAGTAATACAGACCAGTGCTTCTGAAACTTCAAAGTGCTGATGAATCAATCACCTGGGGACCTTGTTAAAATACAGATTCCAATTCAGTAGATGGGCCTAAGATATTGAGTGTCCAATAGCCTCCCCAATAATGCAGGTGCTGATGGTCTGCGACACATTAGTAGTAAAAATCTAGAGGATAACTCAGTACAGGCCTCCAAAAAAAATCGGCACAGGAAGAGCGATTCTGCAAGGTTTGGAGGCAGGAGAGGAATGGCTTAAAGCAAGAATGGTGGGGGCGGGGGTCACTGCGGGGGAGATTCCACGGTAGGTGTGAGATTCTTTACATGCTCCACATTCCCACCCCCTACACTGAGCCAGATAACTCTTGCCCATTGGTCTTTACAGAACCCCTTTACCGTCTTCTTTTAAAGTCTGAGAGGGGAAACTATCCTACACAGGAAGATGGGAAAATACAGGAAATTGTGTATGGACTCAGAAAAGATAACTAGCAGCAAATTTGGGATCTACCCTCAAATGTTTGAAAATCTGTCTGCTGTTAGAAGGCTAGAAAGAAGAATTTACAGAGAAGCACATCAGCTCTTGTTAGTGTTAAGAGAGGTACTTTTGTTTTAATTGGAGGATAATTGCTTTACAGTGTTCTTTTGGTTTCTGCCATACAACAATGCAAATAAGCCGTAATTATATATACATTCCATACTTCTTCAGCCTCCCTCGCCATCCCACCCTTCTAGACCATCACAGAGTACCAAGCTGAGCTCTCTGTGTTATATGGCACTGCCACTAAGAGAGGTACTTTTAAACAGACAAGCATGGTGGAGAGAATTAAGTTGCTGAACAAAGGCTGGAAGCTCAGATCAGTCACAGGGGATGCTGACCGGCAGGCTTTGGAGAAATCTTCAGTAGGCGCACTCTTCGTCCCTCCTAATTCTGATAGTCTAGGAGTCTGTGCCCATTTACAGGGAGAAAAGACAAATTAGGTCACTAAAAAGGAATCGAGGCTCTCTGGTAGTTATTGCTAAAAACAGCAAATGTGGAGTAAACTGGGCAAGATCACTGGTTCCTAGATGTCTAGATTTTGTAAATCAACATACATATATATTTAATTATGAAAATCAATTGAATGTCCAACTTTTTGTTTTACTATATAAGAACATGAACACATGCCCACAAAAGATCAATCTACTAATGCCTAATTTCATAAGCCACAAGAATATAATCTCAAAATGAAATTCTTTAAATTGAATTTAGCCCAGTGAACACCTGTTAACTTCGTGCTTTTCTCATTATCCATGCTTTGAAAAACCATAGCGCTAAATGATCTAAAACCATTTCCTATAATAATCTGATTCTTTGTCTTAAGGCTGATTTCATGTTTAAAAAAAAAATTTCAATGTGGTATCATTGGTAAAAATGAGGCTCTGCCCTTCTGAGTTCAGATGGAAGACAACCTGGTTTTCCCTTGCTGCCACTAAGACTTGCCACTGTCGTTCTTGGAGTATAAATTCATCGTTCTTATCCCAGTAACTGATCCACAAACTTAACTCCATTTTTCTCCACCCTGAGCGAGTCAGAGCTTGCTTAGGACTTGAAATCTACATCTCTGAAGTTGAAAATATCCTCCTGATCTACTCTTTCTTAGAACTGGAAGAGAAGGTGCCAGCAATGCAAAAATACCATCTGTGAACACGGATTCAAATTTAATTTTGCATTTTCTTTATACATGAAATTTGAATGACTGTTTCAGCATTTAAATCTAGATTTTTCTTTTCCTGTTTTGAGGATTAGAAACCTTGATTTAAAAAAAAAATTCAAACAAGTATGTGTATTTATTTAGGTGTTGTTGTTTAGCTGCTAAATTGTATCTGTCTCTTTTGCGAACCCATGGACTGTAGCCCCCCAGGCTGCTCTATCCACAGGATTTCCCAGGCAAGAATACTGGAGTGAAAAAAAGAATACTGGAGTGTGTTGCCATTTCCTTCTCCAGAAGATCTTCCCAACTGAACCCTCCTCTCCTACACTGCAGGAAGATTCTTTATCACTGAGCCACCAGGGAAGCCCCATTTAGTTGTTACTATTATGTAAAAGAAAACATTCAGTGTTTAATTCGGTTTACTGATGAGGAAAAATGAAGTAGATAAATCATTTTTTTAAATTCTTAAAGCTGTTAATGACAGTGAAGAATATAACGTTCTGCTTTTTACATAATTCTAAGGAACTTTATGAAAATATGCCTATATTATTTAGTATTATTGCCGATACCTACCAGCAACAACCTAGGTCTTTAATACCAAAATAAATCAATGTTATAAATATCAGCAAATAAAAAGTGATAGTGAAGCACTTTGTAATACAAAGGTATACTTTTGTGTTACAATGGTAAACCACAAGATTTAATTTTTAGTACATGGCAAGAAATTTTTTAAAAGTGGAGGTACTTACTTAATTCTCTATACTGAGATATTTTAATTAGAGCCATCAACCTTACTCCTCGTCATGTTTGTACATACGTGGGAGTATGTGTAAACTGCTCACTGTATTTTAGATAAAGTATGACCTCATGTGAATGTATTTTTTTCAGCAAGGACATACTGAAGCTATCTGAAAATCTCAAGAGTTCAGACACCTAGATAAACGACCTAAAGTGTAGAAATACACAATTTCTATACCTGTGAGGCAAAACTAGACAACAGTCCCTGGTAGGAGATGGAGTGGAAGTACAATAATCATTCTAACCATTCTTTGACATCAGTAGCCTGGGATGGACCTCTTGTGGTGAATTCATAGCTATTTTCTTCTTCCCACGGTCACCTATTGACAGTGGATGCTAGGTTCATCACTTGATTCTAGGGCTTGAACAAAAGCTGCGTCTAACACATTCTTGGCACTTGGTTATCTTTGCAAAGGTCAGGAATAACTAAATTGGAATGTGAAGGCTACCACCACCCACTTGTGAAAATCACAAAGACAGTACTAGATTCCGCAAGACTCACTTGGAAAACCGCACTTTTCCAAAGACCAATTTCTGTATCAAATTGAAACATCAACTATTCACTAAAAAAGTATTCATTAAAAAGTATTCACTAAAAACTATTAACTAAAAAAGTTAATGCTTGAGACTTTTGTCTAATTTTTAAAAATTAGAAAACAGAAATAGAACCTGCTTATTCCCTTCTTTATACAAAGTACTCAATCAGCCTGAGGGTTAGAAGCGCCACACCCTAAGAAGGTGAGTTCATCCTGCAAGTCAAGAAAAATAAAAACTGCATTGTGCCAGTTTCACAAGAGGGCTGTGGTCACAGCCAGAGCCTTGCAAGCCAGATCATGTCCCAGCAATAGTGCTGATCTAGGCTCTGCATGCACCCTTCTCCCAACTGGTGTACTAACCTTCTTAATTCACTTGCCTAGCATCCCTAAATATTCATTGGGTCTGTATTAGTCTTTGCAGTGAGACATGAAGACCAAAGTCTGTTTAAAAACACACCTGTTTTAAGCAGGCCTGCTAAATCCCCTATAAGATACTGAACCTGACTGCATTTTAACCAAATATACAGACATGTTATTTCAAAGAAATTAACTCGCTTCAAATACCTAAAAGACTTGCAAGTAATACAAACCATTACAATACAAACAGCAGGTGGGCTGTTTGTGCTTTAAGAGAGGAAAAACACAGACTCAAGGAAAGTTGTAATTTCATTTAGTCTTTATATTTACTTTCTGACTAGGCCATGCCTCCTTTGTGGGTGGGGGGTAGGGTGGATTCCATGTGGGAACTTCCAAGTAATTCCACAATGGATAAGATAAAGCACCAAGCCTCTGATTCAGGGCCTCAAGATAAACAGAATTTGGTTTGAAGCCCTGGGCCAGTTTAGGTGTAGGGGGCAAGTCAAAGGCCCTACCAGAGAATGGGGGGAAAGCAGGATATCTTTTTCTCGGTTTAAAACCATTAAACTCAGTTGGTAAGGCCCCATTCAGTAGTACCTGGCTTTCAGCTTCTGATTATGCTCCTACCTAAGCCCTCTTTTTTCAGACCCCACACACGTCGCTAATTACAATAGACCCCAGCAGTTCTTCCCACCTACCAGTAAGCTGGGAGCGGTATCAGCCCAGGGCAAGTCCTGTTCGGGTCCTGTCAGCTAACTAGTAGGCAGGAAATCCCTCCACGTTGGAAAAAGAAAATACTCTATCTGCAGTATTTTAAATTTGTCGACTCCGTTTCATTTCGCTAGTGTAGAAGATGTGTTTGCTTTTTAGATTTCAAATCGAATTGAAATAAAGTTTTCTAAACAGCAATGCTGGACTTGAGCCAAACTCTCCCTCTAACAAGAATTACCCTGCAGCGTTAAACAATGCAATATCTACTGAAATTACCACTGCTAAAACTTTGACAGAAAGGGTTGGGTTTTTTGTTTTTGTTTCTTGGGTTTTTTGGTTTTTGTTTTTTAAGGAAGAAGAGTTGCTTTCTCTTAGTTCAAGTTGAATAATATAGCGAATTAGGGAAGGTACGCACTTTTAATACTTGTAGTTTAAGCATAAGAAGAATCAGAGGAGGAGGCCACGGAATGGGGATAAATTTCAGTAGGTATCCAAGAAAATATACTTTGTTCACTGTATTTACTCATCAAACCCTTTTCAAATGGCTGAGATCACCTTTTGCTGTACAAACTACGAATAAACGTAGTTTGAACTAGGGTCATTGTCCGCCAGTGTCGAGCCTGGGTTTTGGCCTCTCAAGGCTTGATTGTGTACGGGTCCGATGTATGAACCCAGGCTCTGAAGAGATTTTTGTTGAGTCACCCATTAGCCCCCCGACCCTGTTTAGTCCCTTCTCGACCCTATTTTAGTCCATTCCCGTAGAGCGACTTCCGCACTCCCTGGGCGCTGGCGCTCGCCCCAGCCGCCGCCCGGAGGACTTCACGGAGGAGGCGGCACTCACCGTACACCATGAGGCTGTCGCAGACTTCTAGTAAACAATGCCACCACAGCGAGGACGTCTGGCTGTCGTCGCTCGACTGCAGCCAGCCGCGACCGGCCAGCGCGATGATGTCAAAGACGATGGCGCTCAGCAGGAGCAACGGCAGGATCCACCTGCAGCGCTCGCAGGCCAGGCCGCAGCGCAGCATCTCGACGGCGGCGGCGGCGGCGGCGGCGGGAAGAGAGCAGCGCGCGAGGCTCGGACGCCGGCGGAGAGTGGCCCTCGAGCGCGGGCAGCGCGACAGAAGGGAAGAGGCCGCGAGGAGGCGGCTCTTGGAGGACGCGGCTCGGGGCTGGCAGCGGGGGCGCGGCGCCCGCCCCACCTAGATTCCGGTGACTCAGAGCGCGCCGCCCGGACCTGCCGGGCCGGCCCGCCTGGGCGCGCGCTAGGGAGGCGGGGCCGGCTCGGGTTACAGCGGGTGTGGGTGAGCCTAGCCCTGCCCGCGAGCGGCCTGGAGCCTCGCGGAGCCACCGTCTCGTCTCCCCCCTAACTTGGTCCCCGCGCATCCAACGCTTCTCGTCTCAGTGCTTCAAGGTGTACACATTTTAATCTGCGGATCACCAGTTAGATATTCAACCCCTGAAGTCGGATCGTGGCCTGATTTTCAACAATACTGTGTTTAAGTTTCCAGCCATTTGAGATGAGCGTTCAAACTGGACATGGATCGTTGTTGCGCTCCGTTTGAGCGCGTGTTTGAGCACGTGTACCGAACCGAGGGTCCCTGACCCTCCGCAAGAGCTTCCCTGGTAATCCCAAGGGCTTCCCTCGTGGTTCCGATGGCAAAGAATCTGCCTGCCACGCAGGAGACCCGGGTTTGATCCCTGGGTGGGGAAGATCCCCTGGAGAAGGAAATGGCAACCCACTCCAGTATTCTGGAGTCGGATAGGACTGAACGACTAACACACACGCACACAGCCGCACTTTCTTTGAGTGCGTGTAGCCAACCCAGGACCCTGGCCCTGACCCTCCCCCGCAGAGGTGGGCACTTCCTGCGAGCTCCACCTTTGTACCTTGTACCTCAGCTGCTTCAGACTCATAACTGCTTACATCCCCGCCTTCTGCACTCGGGTGCCAACTGTTTGACAGAGAGACCTTGTTTTCATGATCTGTGTATCCCTGGCGCCGGCCCTGTGCCTTGGTCTTAAAGGGAGCACGGTAAACACTTTATTGGCAAACACACTGAAATTAACAAATGCTAGTTTCAGTTGTGGTGGAGAAGGCAATGGCAACCCACTCCAGTACTCTTGCCTGGAAAATCCCATGAACGGAGAAGCCTGGTAGGCTACAGTCCATGGGGTCGCCAAGAGTCCAACACGACTGAGCGACTTCACTTCACTCACTTCACTCACTTCATACTTTATCACTGGAGAAGGAAGTGGCAACCCACTCCAGTATTCTTGCTTGGAGAATCCCATGGACCTGGGAGCCTGGTGGGCCGTGGTCCATGGGGTCGCAGAGAATGGGACATGACTGAAGTGCCTGAGCAAGAGAGACTTTCAGTCGTGGAAGCGCTTTAGCCGCTTCTCCGGATAAATTCAGGTCCCCTTGGCTGCCATCCACTCCTTAGCCCAGATCTCTACTTAGACCCTCTTACATCTACCCTTTTCATTTACTATTTTGAGGTGTCTCCAAACAAAAACCGCATGTCAGCATGCAACCACCAACTAAAGTCCCACCTCCCGTGTCCTGACTCTGCTTCCATCACCACCATAGCTCCTCAGGTGTGGCTAGCAGGGTGAGGTGGCAGCTGGGAGTGGTACTGAGGAGAAACAAGTTCTCAGGATCTGCACAACCCCTCCTTGGGCAAATCATGAAGAATAGCCAATGAGGGTCATATCTCACCGTGTACCCCCAAAGATATATTCCGAATCACCTTTTCTTTTCTTTTTATTGAAGATTTACAATATTAGTTTCAGGTGTACAACATAGGGATTCAGTATTTTTATAGCACTCAATATGCCAGCGAATTTGGAAAACTCAACAGTGGCCACAGAACTGGAAAAGGTCAGTTTTCATTCCAATCCCAAAGAAAGGTAATGCCAAAGAATGTTCTAACTATCGCACAATTGCACTCAGTTCACCTGCTAACAAGATAATGCTCAAAATCCTTCAAGCTAGGCTTCAACAGTACATGAATCGAGAACTTCCAGATGTACAAGCTGGATTTAGAAAAGGCAGAGGAACCAGAGATCAAATTGCCAACATCTGTTGCACCATAGAAAAAGCAAGAGAGTTCCATAATAACGTCTACTTCTGTTTCATTGACTATGCTAAAATCTTTGTGTGGATCACAATACACTGTGGAAAATTCTTAAAGAGATGGGAATACCAGACCACTTTACCTGCCTCCTGAGAAACCTGTATGCAGGTCAAGAAGCAACAGTTAGAACCTGACATGGAATAACAGACTGGTTCCAAATAGGAAAAGGAGTACATCAAGGCTGCATATTGTCACCCTGCTTATTTAACTTATATGCAAAATACATTATGCAAATGCCAGGCTGGATGAATCATGAGCTGAAATCAAGATTGCCAGGAGAAATATTAATAACCTCAGATATGCAGATTTCACCACCCTAATGGCAGAAAGTGAAGAGAAACTAAAGAGCCTCTTGATGAAAGTGAAAGAGGAGAGTGAAAAAGTTGGCTTAAAACTCAACATTCAAAAAACAAAGATCATGGTACCCAGTCCCATCACTTCATGGCAAATAGATGGGGAAACAATGAAAACTGTGACAGACTTTATTTTTCTGGGTTCCAAAATCACTGCAGATGGTGACTGCAGCCATGAAATTAAAAGATGCTTGTTCCTTGGAAGAAAAGCTATACTAACCTAGACAGCATATTAAAAACCAGAGACGTTACTTTGCCAACAAAGGTCCATCTAGTCAAAGCTATGGTTTTTCCAGTAATCATGTTACCAATGTGAGAGCTGGACCATAAAGAAGGCTGAGCACCGAAGAATTTATGCTTTTGAACAGTGGTGCTGGAGAAGACTCTTGAGAGTCCCTTGGACAGCAAGGAGATCAAACTAGTCAATCCTATAGGAAATCAGTTGTCCTGAATATTCCCTAGAAGGACTAATGCTGAAGCTGAAGCTCCAGTACTTTAGCTACCTGATGCAAATAGCCGACTCATTGGAAAAGACCCTGATGCTGGGAAAGATTGAGGGCAGGAGAAGGGGATGACAGAGGATAAGATGGTAGGACGGCATCATCGACTCAATGGACATGAGTTTGAGCAAACTCCAGGAGATACTGAAGGACAGGGAAGCCTGGCATGCAGCAGTCCATGGAGTTGCAGAGTCAGGCACAACTGAGTGACTGAACAACAATACTCCATTTAAAAATATTATAAAATATTGGCTATATTCCCTGTGCTGTACAATATATCCTTATAGTGTATTTATTTTATACATAGAAGTTTGTGCCTCTTAATCCCCTGTCCCTATTTTGCCCCTCTCCCTTCCCACTGGTAACCACTTATTTGTTCTTGCATCTCTCTGTGTTTCTGTTTTACTTTATTCATTCATTCATTCATTTGTTTTTTTTTCAAGAGTCCACATATAAGTTATAATATACAGTATTTGTCTTTCTCTGACTTATTTCAATAAGCATAATACCCTCTAAATTCATCCATGTTGTTGCAAATGGCAAAATTTCATTTTTTAAAAAATATCCCATTGTATATATAGAGACATATGTATGCATATATATATATGGTAGCATATATATATCACATCTTTATTCATCTGCTGATGGATAGTGGTGTTGCTTTCATATTTTGGTTATTGTAAGTAAGACTGCTGTGAACACTGGGGTGCATGTATCGTTTTGAATTAGTGTTTTCCTTTTTTTTCAGATATATTCCCGGGAGTGGAATTGCTGGATCCTATGGTAGTTCTATTTTTAGTTTTCTGAGGAACCTCTCTATACTGTTTTCCATAGTGGCTACAACAATTTACATTTCCAACAGTGTACTAGGGTTCTCTTCTGCATATCCTCACAAACATTTGTTTTCTGTGGGGTTTTTGTTTTTTTTTTTTGATGTAGACATTCTTTTTTGACAGGTGTGAGGAAATATCTCATTGTGGGTTTGATTTGCATTTCTCACATGTGAATTCCATACTTTTTCCATTTAAAATTAAAGAAGTGGAAAATATATATCAGTGTTTAATTCAGTCTCCTGTATTTCAGTTTGGCATCCTCAATAGAAACAAAATACTGTTTTGCAGTATGCGGTTCTCTGTGGCAGTTTTTGAGGATGAATAAAATAAAATTACTGAGCAAATATCTGAAGCCACCTGAAATAATTTCCCCAGCCTTCATTTTACATAAACCAGATTCACATATTTTCACTAAAGGCAAATATTTTCACTTTCAAGGGGGTATTCTGCTGAGAGTTAACTGCATACCATGTAGACTGTGTAAAGAAAATGTTCTCAGTTTTCAAAAGTAGTGAAAATATTTGTTTTATTAGCTGTATAATGAATTTATGAGGAAAAATCATTTTCTTACAAATCAAAGTACTAATTATAAGCACATTTCAGGCAAATTGAGGGTTTCTTTGGTGTTTTAACCTCTTCAAATAATTTTGGACTAGATATGACTCCTTTCTCTTGTTTCAGTAGATTTGAGGAAGAGAGCCATTAATGTTGAAGTGAAAGCAAGTAAAGTAGCTCCTCAGAATTTATGGAAGAGACCCAAACAGACACTGGTTGTTTTCCAACAATAATGTACCTCACACATGATTCCCAGACTACGGAACCAGATAGCTCAGGTTCAGATCCTTTCTCACACTTGCTGTGTGACACGGGGCCACTTAACTTCTTCGTGCTTCAGTTTCCTCATCTATAAACGGACGGCGCTGACCCTACAGCATTGTTGCTGTTGTTCAGTTGCTCAGCCAAGTCCAACACCCCATGGACTGCAGCACGCCAGGCTTCCCTGTCCATCACCAACTCCCGGAGTCCACCCAAACCCATGTCCATTGAGTCCGTGATGCCATCCAACCATCTCATTCTCTGTCATCTCCTTCTCCTCCTGCCTTCAATCTTTCCCAGCATCAGGGTCTTTTCCAATGAGTCAGCTGTTTGCATCAGGTGCAAAGACTCCAAAGTATTGGAGTTTCAGCTTCAGCATCAGTCCT